TCTCCAAGTGGATGTACAAAGTGATGTGACAGGACAGGGCTACTGTCAGCTGTGTAGCTTCACCTAACAAGCGACGTGTAATGGTTTCCTGGCGAAGCCTGTCTCAGTGGAGAGTGTCCTGGGTAATGTAATGACGCTTTCTCCCTTGGGAGGGACATCTGTGTAGTTTAGTGACAGCTTTTCACATGGTCCCTCTAAGACCTGTAGCCCTTAGTTTAGTGTATTGGTCGAGTTATTGCAGTATAAACGTAAATAATGAAAATAATCTGTATATATAAGCTTTTTGAAAACTCTTTCCTCCCACTTTTTGGAAAAGTTACTGTGTTTCTTATCCATTAAATCCATTACTTTGTTTATAGCAGATCCCGGAGCTGCAAGTCATCGCTTGCTTTGCCTAGGTTGGTGCAGAACCCAGAATAATTGTGACCAAATTCTGTGGAACACTTTAGCACATCGTTAAGGAAGGTCACAAAAGAAGCCTCTCTTGTTTTGATGGCTAGGTTGCTCTTGCCTTGTTAACAGCATGAAATTTGCAGAAATTAATTTTGCGGGGGGGTTGGGGGGGGGTGTGTTTTTTGTATGTTTGTCTTATATTGTAAGTTACAAATGAAATAACATTAACCTGTTGAATTTAAGTAACAAAATACCTCTTGCCCTCGTGACTTTCCGATCTGGTATACCTAGGCTGTTTCCCGGCTCATACTGACTACTCCGTAGAAATTAATGGCAAGGCTGTAATTGAAAGTTACTTTATATTCCAGTTTAAGATAATAACATTCATTTCATTACCAGCAGGCAATGCTAGGATGACTGGACAACCCGTGGATCCACAGAGTCGAAAGTTTAGCTCTTACAAGAGCTAGTACATGACACTCCATAACAGGAACTTTCTGTGCAAATAGTCTGTAGCAGGTGTTGAAAGGGAACACTGCTTGTTGTGATCAAATGATGATCATTCCTGTCTGATCCAGGCACAAACTTGTCTATAGGGAAATACTGAAGGTGCTTTATGCACACACTTTATCCTAGAAGCTTGAATATTGGGTTTTTAAAAACTATTTCTGGTGTTATTTGCAAACAAAAAGACCAAGGTTGCTTTGGGTTAGCTGAATCAAATACATTCCAGGTTCAGCAAAATCCTTCTCCTGCTCCCCTCAGTTTTAACTGCAGAGTTGACTCAGTTCCTTGGCAGTGTTCAGGGCTGGGTGTTCAGCCATGAACAGTCCTTTGCTGTTCCTGCCAGCGCTGTCCACCTCCTTTCTCCTGCCTTGGTCACACGGGGTGTTTCCTGGCACTGCAGGGATGAAACGGGCTGCAAATTGTTTTGTCTCCACAAGTTTGGGGGAGGGAAATGGGCTGTATGAAACCAGCTTTTCTAGCTCATTTGCAACTTTAGCCCATGATGCGGGGCAGAAAAATGTATTGTGTCCATGATTCCATATTCTGCTTTTATTAACTGAGTTTTTTCATCTTTTGTGACACTGGCTTCTTTCTGTCCGTCACAAGTAGCTATGTCTTTGTACTCCCTGGGGTGGCTCAGCTTACTTGCAGGTTGGTCCCAAGCTGCCAGGAGTGCAGAGGGATCTATGCCATTTTAGCTCAGCACCCAGATGCCTTGCTATTATAGGAGCATAGCCTAGCTGCTTCCCACGGGAAACAGTTGAGCTGTCCCTGTGGGTTCGGCTTTGATTCCCAAGCAATTTTTATTCTTCTGTGGAAATGATACAGATTAGATTGAATGGGATTTAGCCAGGGAGCTCAGTTTAACATATCAAGAGCATGAAGATATGTGAATGCAGCACCTCCTAAGCACTCTGGTAGTGGTTATAGGCAGGAGTAGGCAGAAAGTGATAAATTTAGGGCTGGGTGGGATATGTTTGTGTTGCTGCCTCAGGTGGATTCTTTTTGATCTTGATTAGTGCCTGTGCTGTCAGGTTACAGCTCCTAACTTAAGGCAATGCACAGAAATTATTTCCATTAAAATTCTATAAAGGCTGTTAAAAACCAGCAAAAGGTTCTTCACTAGGGCAATGTGTAGCCCTTAAATTCCTTATTTGCCCGGTATTTCATGGAACAGCAGATCCAAGAGGTGTTTTAAGCTTCTAAAGTGCTATTTCAGAATCAAGCAAAATGACAATTGGGCTCAGTACTCTACGATAAAATCCACTGAAAAAAAGGTCTTTTCTTTCATGAGTGGGTTATTTATAGTATACTTCCCCTGCCTGTGAGGAAACTGTGCCTGGGTAATTTAATCATCAGCAGCCAAAGAACAGCTGGTTACAGGTGACTCCTTGTGTGCTTACAGATCCTGTTGCCTGTGTTATCCGACATGGGCTGTGGTTTCGTGACTCTTACAACTCGGGCACTTAGGGCTTTCGTTTTCAGGCTGACAAATGGAGATGTGGCATAGTTAGATGAGTTGCTTGGGCTTGTCCCCTGTGCTTGGCTCTTGCTGCTTGAAGGCCAGAGAAACGTATAGTACTAGCCATCGAAATGGCAACCTGACCTTACAGCGTGGAAACTGCCATGTTGTAACAGACATTTTTTGGCTAACGAGATAGTGCTTTTTGCAAGCTTTTCTTCTCTTGGCATGATGGGAGAACTAAGCTGTAAAATAATTGAGGTGGGGATTTAGAGATTTGCTACAACAAACCTGTAACAAAAATAGCACAAAGCAAGATCTCGCGTTTGTTTTATATAAAGTCTTAGTGGATCGATAGAAATATATAAACTATTCCAAATTGCATCAGGGTGAAAGTTATAATTATAGTTTTATTGATTAGTGATTAAGTTTTAATCAGGGCATAACCACTGGGGCTATTATTTTGTCAGTAGCTTTATTTTTTTTTAATACGTACTTTTCCTCCTTTGCACACTTTAATACTTACTATGATATAAATTGCTTTTAAATGTAAAATAATAAGCCAAAGACTCTGTTTTGTTAGAATTCCCAAGGCATCTGTTTGCATTTCCAAACTGTCTTTTTACAAAATGGAGAAATGAAGATATAGAGTAAGAAATGGATGTTGGATTTCTAGGTTTGCTGCTTCTTCACTGGGTAGCTGACTCATTTAAGCTCACGTCTTGTGCATCCGTAAAATGTGAGCATGTGCTAAGGTTAAAGGTACATTAACGCTGACTAATCTGCCTTTCGAATATGACCCAGTAAAAATAGTAAAATAGGTAAAGAGGAAAAAATGCAAAGGCTGCATCAAGATATGTTAAAATGTATGTGAGAAATCAGTCACATGGGAGCTCTTAGTTTTTATAACAGCGACTCTTCTGTATTGTTTACAACCTGTGTAAATTCATGGGAAACGCAGGCCCCTGGAACTGGTTTGGTCCAATTTCCCAGTTCCAGGCTAGGAAGCACAAAACCAAGCAGTGAAAAGGCAGTGACTGTAGCATGGGGGGTGTGTGGTTGGTTTTTTTGTGGGTTTTTTTTTTGTGTTTTGTTTTTTTTTCTTGTTTAGGCAGAAGGAATAGAGAAGGCTAATCTCATCTCCCAGAGGGAGATAAAGAAAAGTACATTCAAAATCTGGCCCTGTTAAACATTATTATTTTCCCCTATAATTGAATCTTGCTCTATAGGGACTCTAAATATCCCATAATACATGAAAAATTACTTAGAGAGACACAGCCAAAGCTCTAGAGGGCAGATATATGGTATATTGTCTCATCAAGGAAGAAGAAGGTTGAAGATTACATGCGTTACTAAGGGGGGGGAAACCCCTTATTATACCACTTGTGTAACTGTCAGATTTGGAGATAGGAAACACTTACTGCATCCAGGGCTTTGGAATTTTTCATCTTGACTCTACATTGCCCTGTATGTTTAGTCTGCCTGTATCTTTACAGTGAGCTGCCAAATGTGCTTGGAAAACATGATATCATAGGGAGTGGAAAGGAAAACCAGATGTTTGAAAATTTTACTTTTAATATTCTAAGGCAGTGTAAGTCACTCTGAGAAGGAGCAGTATTTTTGACCTCCTAATGCCCGTTTTAAATAGTAAACAGGTGTGTCTTGTAGATCCAGAGTTAATTGTACAGCTCCAGATTGATTTGTACAGAATTTTTTATGTCAGTTTAATACGACAGTGTATACTGTTAATTACAAGAAACTCTGATAAAGAGAAGTCCCCCTCTAGGCCTCTCCTACCAGCCTCCTGCAAGCATGGTTTTATGGGACAAGTTTCAGATTGTCCCAGTTTGACCGACAACTTCATGAGTCTCGAAGCGGTTGGATTCAGCACAGTTAATTGTACACCCTGCTGGCTTTTCCATGGAGGTGAGAATAAAATCGTTTGGATCACGTTCTAGAGAAGCTAGCTGACAACAGCCTTTTCCATCTATTATTTACATATTCTTATGGTTACAATATGAGCTTTGCAAGATATTCAGTGAAAGTTTTGGCCTGTTGCTTGTAAACATCAAGTTCACTCTTATCATCTTTCTG